CCCCCGCCAGCCCATGCGCCCTGGACCGCGGTCGCGTCTGCCTCCACTTTGCGCGCAAACTCCTGGCGCAAGGGCCCCCCGGCGGCGCCGTGGGCGCGGGCTGGCCGCGGTCGCGGCTGATGGCGGCGTGGGGCGCGGCCGTGCCTGAGGAGTGGGCGCCGCCCGACGCGGGGCTGCTGGCGGGGGAGGCGCTGGAGGAGCTGCCAGAGGGGGCGCCACAGGGTGGGCGTACGCCCGGGGGGGGGATGCGCGCACGTGCAGCAGCTGGGGGCGGGCGGGGAGGGGCATGGGGCGACGGCGTTGTGTATGTGTCTCGGTCCGAGCCACCGCCTGATAGCTGAAGCATGTGGCATCACCGGCGGCCGTATATTGGTGCATGGGGTGCACAGCCGTGGCAAGCTTCTCGTTCATTGTTGCCTCGCTATCTTGTCTGATCCTACTGCAACCGCTGTGCTTCCTGTGTGTATCCCTCAAAGGTTCAGAGCCCGTGTTGGTGCCGTTTGCGGAGCGCGACCTGCCCCTCGAGCCGGCTGCGCGCTTTGCGGTGCTCTTCCAACGGCGGCCGCGGTGGGAGAGGTGCGCTCGATATCATCTCCCCTGCGCTCCCCGGCCCGCCCACGTGACGGCGCGTCCGATCGCCGCGGGGCGGCACGCGCCGCCCTCCGAAGCACCTGCGCCAGCCCGTGTGCTTGCTTGGCGCTGCCGTCTCTGCACGGGGCAGCTACAATTGGGATATATCGACAGGGCCTCAGTCGGCTGCAGGATGACAGTCCAAGATCGTCCAACCTTAACTCCACCAGCAGCCGCGTGACTCGATTCAACCACATTGACCCCTCTGATCATACGTGACAGTTCCATCCAACCCCTGCCCCCATAGGTCGGCCATGGAGCCGTATCTAGCAGCTCTGGCGTCGAGCGCCGGCGGCCAGACCGTCGAGGCGCTGCTGCTGCGCCACGCGCGCGCCAGCCAGCCGTCCCCTGATGCGCCCCTCATGTTCTCAGCGCGGTGACGTCATCGCACAGTCCAGTCACAGTTTGACGGCGGCCGAGAATGCCGGACCCAGCTTGAACGACACCCCAGCCCACTAGGCACACTGGCAAGACACCGAGTGGTCGGGCACTGTGTCGGATTGTTGCAGCGACGGTCGGCTTGTTATCGATGTAAATCTGGTGTTGCAACAACCGTGTCTCGTCATTCTCAACTCAGCTTGGCCCGCAACAGCGTTAGCAGCGTGTGATGCTTGTGATGCTGGTCTACTTTGAGTGGTGTGTACATGCAGGGCCCTCTTTGACGCAGTGAGCAGTGCATCAGCGATGAAGTCCACAGCCGCAAGTGTGCATTGCCAGGGGCAGGAAGTGCTGGTCAACACCTGTGGACAAGGTTTTGACAGTCGCACGACGGTGTTGAATCTGGAACCTTGTTCGCCTGTGCATGCGTCGACCTGGTGCTCAAAGGGCGCCAAACTTAGGGCCGCTGCATTGCCCTAAAGTGCTGTTCAACGGTTCTTCCGGGCCCAGACCACCAAGTGAGTACCTCCTGTAGTTTGTGGCAGGGGGGCTTTGAGTTTAAAGGGTCAACTGCCAGTGCATAACTGTATTTACACCACTGTTGAAACTCGCATTTGTTCACACATTGTACACCAGCTTGCTATCAATTTGTCAACAGTAGCAGCATCTCAAGGAGTGCCGTGACCTGGCAGCACCCAGCTGGCATATGGCAGTGAGGCAGGCTGCCATGAACCCACACAGCAGGGCGCAACACACGCCACACGCCAGGCGAGTGATGCGTCCAGCGCTGACTGGTGCGTTGGGCGACGACAGCCGGTGAATCAGTGCTTGGCAACAAAAGAAGACAAATCACAGACTGACAAGAGGTTGTTTAAGGAAAGATGGGTAGTTGGTGACAGGATATCCAGAGCAACAACCATGGACATTCCGAGGCAGCATCGCGCGTTGGCGCGTGGCGAATGGCAGCCGCTGCGCTTCTTTGGTACAGGCCTCAACACAAGGCCAAGCAACACACAACCGTTGCTGCGAGTAGCCAGAATGTACGGCACTGGCTGGCCCGGCAGTGACGACGCCGAACTTAGTGGCCCCCGTAAACGTGTCAGTCTTGCGCGTTGCCCAAGGCCGGCGGGGCGCGTCCCTTCCAGAACCCATGCCCTGCGCAAGCGCGTCGTCGGCACCTTGCACATGCACACCTGCGTTTGATCTCAGTGGCCGAGCAGCCACAGCCATCCGAGGTAGCAGCCGACGTTGAGGCCGGCCACCAAGCCAATCACCATGAACTCGGCGGTGCCCTCCGCCACGATGGCCCTGAGGCCGATGGGTGATAGCTTGAAGAATAGCGCCGTCAGGAACCTGGTGCGTTGGCAAGTTGTGGTTTGCAGGTAACGAGGTAAGTGGAACAGGGGAACCAGGCAAACAAGGGGCCATGTGAGGCTCAACTCACAGCTGGTGTACTTGCGTGTGAATGGGGGGTGTTACTAGTCAGGTGTGCGGATCCGGGAAGAATGAATGCACTCCAGCTGACGGCTGAGTGGTGCGGGCCGGGAAAGCACCTGCACGGCACGCGACCGACTACGACCCGCGGCGCAGGCCTGCTACATGGTCAACCTGCTTTGTGAGCGCAGGCAGGCGCTGCGAGACCCCTGCCACCCGATTGGTGCGTGAATCCGTGTCGAATGCTTGGTCCCTGCGTTTTAGTCTGCCAGCTACCCACCCGTTGCTGAGGCCCAGCAAGAGCGTGAGGATCGCCATGACCGCCGCCGGCGCGCCGAACCGCGCGGCGCAATAGAACGCCGGAATGAAGACGATGCGCGACAGCGACAGCAGCAGGCAGGCGGTCTGGCCCGGCGCCAGGCGGAAGTGGGGCAGAAGCTTCCCGACCATGTCGCCCACGTTGAAGACCTTTGATAGCGGAAGGAGGGTGAGATGGGGGCTCAGTAACGCAAAATTTTCCTTTGGTGGGTTAGAGCCTAGAACGTCTCCACACTGCCGAAACAAGCAAGCCAAATGCACCTTTGCCAAGTGCATCAGGCAGCCAGGAGCACTGGTGCATGATGATGTGGAGCTTGGTTCAGAACGGCACGATTTTGAAGGTGCTCTGTCAAAGTCGCGACCCGGATTGCCTCCTCCCACTCAGCCGCACCAGGAACAAGATGACAGGGTACCACGAGCCGAGCTGGAGGTTCTGTGGGGCGGCGCACAGCAGCAGTAGTGTTCAGCCCAGTCGTGCGCCAAGGGTAGCGGCAGAGACAGGAACCCAGCATGGGGAGCGTTTTGATCTTGACCAGGCACAGGCGAGACGGGCGAGCACGCTGCACCCACGCCAGGCAGAGCGTAAGCTTGCAAACAAAGAAACACAATCAACACACACACAGTGCACACAAACGCACACGAAGTCGACTCCTCATCCCTCACCTTCACGTCTTCTGCCAGGAAGCCCGGGAATATGCACAGCGTGATGACATAGATCATGAACATCGCCGTGATCATCCGCCACCGCACCCGCCACAGCTCCCACACCGTCGGCGGCGGCACAGATGCAGGGATCAGCGGCTGGCTCATCGTCCGCGCGAGCTCGCGTGGCGCGCTCGCGATAGAGCTGGCTGTCCGCGACAGCGTCCGCACGAGGCCGCTGCCGCTCACCGACAGCCGCGGGGACAGCAGCGACCCGCGGGGCGCGAGGTCGTCGGGCGCAGCGGCGCCCGCGGCGCAGGCGGCGTCGTGCGCGTCGAATTCGGCGAAGGGGGAGGCTTTGAGAGTGCCCGAGGAGGGGCCGCGTGCCGAGGCCTCGGGGATCGGCGGCATCGGGTCGATGGGCTTGGCTGGGCCCTCGGCGCTGGCGACCAGCGGGAGGCTGCCAGCTTCTGCGGGTTGGGGGCGCGTGGTGGGCGTCAGGGGCGTGTGATGGGAGTTGGGGGCGCGTGGTGAGGGTGAGGGGCGCGTGGTGAGGGTTGGGGCCGCGGGGTGAGGGTTGGGGGCCCCCAGGCGCTGTGAGGGGGGCGAAAGGAGTCGAGGGATAGATGGAGGGCGCTAGCCGCTGGTGATGCGTGCAATCCAGCAGCAAACGGACAAGATCACGCATGGCGTGTCAACCCCTCTGCTCCCCAGTTGACCTCTCTGCTCCTGGTGCGACTGCTGCTGCTGTTGCTACCGCTGTTGCGGCTGTGGCTATTGCCGCTATCGCCGCTATTGCCGCTATCGCCGCTATTGCCGCTATTGCCGCAGCTGCCGTTACTGCCGCCAATGCACAGGATCTCACCCTCCAGCCCAACCAGAACGCCTCACTCCCCACCTTCCCCCCTCCGTTCCACCCCACCCCATCCAATCCCATCCCGTCCCACTCGGCTGCCTTCCACCGCGCCCCACCCCACCCCACCGCACCCC